CATTCTGCGCGGCCTGTGTCTGTGCCTGTTAGCGCCCTCGGGAACCCCACTCCCTGTGGCAGTCGTGGCCGAGCTCTGCAGTCTCTGCGTAGTAGTCCAGTGGTGCGTCGAAGTTCTGATACTCCTCGTTGGCCATGGCCCATGGTCCTCGTCCTCCTCCTCCTCCTTCTCCTCCTCCTCCTCCTGTTGGCTGTTGCCTGTTGCCTGTTGGCTGAAGTGTCGTGCCGACGCAGCCCTCCCTCCTCCTCCTCCTCCTCCTCCAACTCCTCCTCCTCCTCCCCCTCCTTCTCCCCCACCTCCACCTACTGCTCCTCTTCCTCCTCCTCCTCCTTCCCCCTCTCCTCCCCCTCCTCCTCCTTCTTCTCCTCCTCCTCCTCCTCCTCTTCCTCCTCATCATCATCATCAGCAGCATCATCATCATCGTCATCCGCCGCCTTCTCCTCCTCTTCCTCCTCCTCCCCACAATCAGCACGGAACTGCAAAGAGAGAATTGGGGCGCAGAGGGAGAAGGGGGAGGAGGAGAGGGAGGAAGGAGGCGGGAACACGGGGCGCTGTCTCTTCAAAAAGAGGGCCCAACACCACAGGATGGTTGAGAACAAGAAAGATAGAGAGGGGGAGAGAGAGGGAGAGACAGAGAGAGAGGAGGAGAAGAGAGAGAGAGAGAGGACAGAAAATGAGAGCGCAAGAGTGGCGGTCGAAGAAAGCCGAAGAAAGGTAAACCGGCCATCCTGCAAGTCGTTTGCTGTCCGCCGCAGATCCGACAGCTCCTCGTTGAGCCTGTCTATGTGCTCCGTTGCCTCCACTACACCCGCTTCACATCACACTGGTGTCACCCTCGACGACCGAACGGGACTTGGGGGGATGTACGCGTGCCAAGAGCTGTTTACTGGGCAGCCACCAACGAAAACCGACGTCCCTTTATCCTTATAGTCTTCCGTTTCAATCAGTAAACCAGGATAGCGTAGAAATGCAGATTGTGTTTGAGAAACAACCACCGAGCGGCCCGCCCTCCTCATCATACTCCTCCTCCTGCTCTCCATCCTCCTCTTCCTGATCACCATCATCAGCAGCGTCATCATCGTCATGCTCCTTCCTCAGCCACATCTTGATCTTGACCAGCGATCCTCGTATTTTGCAAGACATACCAATCACGGAGCCCTGAGAAACCAAACGTACGCGGTGCTGCGCATCTGGAACTGCGTCTGGCGTTGATTGCCCGTACGCAAGCCCTCTGGCAAAGCGGACGGTGCATTACGACCAGCACTCACTGTAAGGTACGTGGGCCCTGGCTCGACAGTGGATCAGGCCGTCTGAGAAAAAACACCGCCCTCTTTCGCATTCCCATTCCCTCTTGTTAGGGAGCATTTCGTCATCTCCGTCCCCAATCCCAGAGCGAGAGAGAGAGAGAGTGAGAGTGAGAATGAGTGTGAGCTAAATTGAGAGAGAGAGAGAGAGAGAGACAAACAAATGAGATACACAATGAAGAAATAGAGCGGGTGGAAAGATATTGGTATGTAGTTGGGGGGGAGAGAGAGAGAGAGAGCGAGAAAGATATGTATACATATATAAAGATATGTATATATGTATAAGCCATACTTGTTCAACATGCCAGTTGATGATCCATATATATATATAAATATAACAAACAGCACAAAGACAGGAATGGGGGAGAAGGGAGAGAGAGAGAGAGAGAGAGGGAGAGAGAGAGAGAGAAAGAGAGAGAGGGGGGACGCAGCGAGCGAGAGGGAGAGAGAGAAACAAGGCAACCTGTATGTATGTAGGTGCAGACCGCGATGAGGGACACCTAAAGACATAGTTCTGCGTATGTGTGTGTAGTTATAGAAGCATAAAGTGGAATTCCAAAGAGGGAGAGAGGGAGAGGGAAAGACAGAGAGAGAGAGAGGGATTGGGAGGGAGAGAGAGAGAGAGAGAGAGCGCACAACATTCAAAACGAACTAAATGCAAGAGAGAGAGAGGGAGAAGAGAGATAACAAATAGAGGGAGAGAGAGAGCAAGCACATATATAATTACATATAGACATATATATATACACATGTATAAATGCGCACGTGAACGAGACGTACTACGATAACCACCCAGAACACAACACAGACATATCCACCACCGTGCATCTGGCACGAGGTGGAATGCCGCCAATGCTCACGCAACCGTGAGAGGACAAGCGTGTTGTAAGGTTCTGCAGGGCTCGGGCCCCGGGTTTCCCAGGCGCTCCCGAGAATTTCTGGCATCTCAAGGGCGGGGGGGGGGGGGGGGGGGGGGGGGGGGGGGGTCGCGTCGACCCCCCCCTCCTCCTTCCCAGCGTCCACAGAACTCGCTCCCCCTTCCCAGCGTCCACAGAATATATGTAAATTATCACAGTGCGACCCTACCTAGGAGTAGGAGCGGTAAACGCTATGCTATGCTGCGCAATGCTATGCTGGGCTAGGCTAGGCTAGGCTATGCTATGCTATGCTATGCGATGCTATGCTGCGCTATGCTATGCTGCGCTATGTTATGTTATGTTATGTTATGTTATGCTATGCTATGCTATGCTATGCTATGCTTTTGCTTTGCCTTCGCTTTTGCCTTCACTTTTGCCTTTGCTCTTGCTTTTGCTTGGCACCCAGGGAGCGCAACTGGGGGAACCGCGCGTTTGCTTTTACCTTTGCTGTTGCTTTTGCTTGGCTCCCAGGGGACTGAGGGAACCGCCCGGGGCGGTGTGCACTGCCGGGCCCCTTTAAGCCAACAGAGTAAGAACCCTTCTAGGCAGAGCCTAGGTAGGGAATCAATCACTTGCTCAACTTGAAGCTGTCCTCTCCACTGCTCGTGCAAACATCCCACCCTCCCTCCCGCAACTTGGTTTGCAAAACCTGTTAAGACCGACTACGACGACACCGACGACAACGACTAGGACGACACCGACGACGTCTCCGACGACTTCGACGACGACAACGACGCCGACGCCGACGAAGACGAAGACGACGATCATGATCAACGGCAACGACGACAACGACGACAACGACGACAACGACGACAACGACGAGGGAGGAGGGAGGACGGCGACGACGCGAACGACGACGAAGGAGGAAGGACGGCGACGCCGACGACGACAACGACGAGGGAGGAGGGAAGACGACGACGACAACGACGACGGACGACGACGGCGACGAAATAGGAGGGACGACGACGAGACGGCGACGACGGACGACGACGACGACGTGGGAGGAGGAGGAAGGACGACCACGGCGACAACGACGACGGAAACGACCACGACGCCAAAGAGGACGACGACGACGAACACGAGAAAAGACAGAGGACGACGTAGGCGACGACGACGACGACGCGGGAGGAGGGAGGACGGCGACGACGACGACGACGACGCAAAAGCGCGCGCGCACGCTTTTGTTGAAAATCCGTGTTGCGAAACCTTGGGTTTTTTTTTAAAAAAATGTTTTTTTGGAAGCACGTTTTTGAAATCCTTCCGAAACCGATGGGTTTTGAAGGTTTTCGGCAGACGCCCGCGACGACGCGCGCGTCTGCACTTCGTCCCGTTTTTTGCAGAGGATTCTCACGACGGCACACGCGCAAGGGCGTTCGACTGATTTCGACATGCGCGCGCGAAGCCCGTTTGGTAGCATTTTGTGAAAATCTTGAAAAACCGATGGTTTTCTTAAGATTTCGCAAGAGCTCGCGCGGAAGCTTTTTTAGCAAATCAGTGTTGCGAAGGCATGTGTTTTTGTATGTTGTTTGGAGATTCGATTGCGAAATCCTTCCGGCACCGAAGGTTTTTGAAGGATTTCGGCATGCGCGCGCGACGACGCGCGCGTGTGCACTTCGTCCAATTTGTTACAAGGGATTCGTGAAAAAGTTGTATGTTAAAACAAAAAATATCACCGCATAGTGTTTCTCACAAGGGAACTTCAGGGGGGGAACCCGGCCTGGCTGGGATGATATGATTTCATATTTAGGATGGACGAGTGTGCAGAATATATATATATATATATATATATATATATATATGTGAAACTATACTATCCCAGGGGAAAGCGATAAGTCCGGGGGGGTAGAGTCTGTTTTCTTCTTAGAAAGGAGAATTAAGAGAGAGAGAGAGAGAGAGAGAGAGACAAAAAAAAAGGAAGAAAAAGGGAGAGATAGATAGAGAAAGAGAGAGAGAGAGAGAGAGAAACAGCGAGCAAACGACGGCCCGCCGCCGCGCCGCCGCGCAGTGCCCTCCTCCTCTTCCGCCGCACTTGTGGTGCCTCACGAGCGACGAACATATCCAAACCCATGGCCTCGCCGTCTGGACACCACGGCACGATCCCATTAAGAGACGCTCGAGGTATACGTCGCGTCATCGTGGTCGGCCGAAGAGCACGGCGCATGGACGCAGACGCCCCAGCTGCCCAACCTGCGGGACGCTGGAGTGCCTCTAGACTGAATAAAACAAGGCTAGGATCGGGATAAATCGCTCCAGAGCGTTCCGGAGCGCTCTCAGAGCGTTCCGGAACGCTCTGGAGCGGCCGCGGCGCCCAATACATCCTCCAAACCCGCCGATTCTCAGAGATTTCGAGTTATCCCGATCCGATTTTGTCCCGATCTTCGCGTCGTTTGACGTCGAGCCCCTGCGACCCGTGCGTGCGCGATCCCATCGATGCGTTCCGCGCGGGGCACCCCTCGCAACGCCGCCCGGCATCCAAGGGGGCCCCGGCAGAGGAGCCCGGCCCGCGAGGACGCCTCGCGTCTCTCGCGCGCCTGTGCTGTGCTGCCCTGCTCCGTGCGCCTCTCGCTGTTTAGATCTCACATCGTTACCTTCCCTCTCCTCCTCCTCCTCCTCCTCCTCCTCCTCCTCCTCCTCCTCCTCCTCTTCATCCACCTCCTGCTCCTTCTCCTCCTTCTCCTCCTCCTCCTCCTCCTCCTCTTCCTCTTCCTCTTCCTTCTTGCCATCGTCATCCCCTCCCCATACCGACTCGTCCTGCAAGAATGTGAACGATTGTGACTCGTTTTGCTGTCAGGCCAGAGGACATAAGAAGGTGTTGGAAGCTGAAATTCAGGCACTCGCGTTTGTCCATGCGCACTGATCGTCTCCGCATACGAATGTGGAGCATCGCGTGCTCGCGGACGCCGTACACAACTTGGACGCTTGCAGTGTCATGGTTCTCTTCACACTTCCCTCTTATTCATCCTGTCTCTGAAGCGAAGAAAAGAAATCTCCCACTGTCTGTTCGGTTGGGATATTGCTCAACAGTCTGCCTCCTGGCAGGATGACGTCAACGCTCGCACATCTAAAGCTGAACATGCCTGAAATACTGTGCTTCAGCACGTTCCTCAAAGGAAGATCGGTACTTCCTGCTTTGATGTGACCTATGTGACCAATCTCCTCCCCACCAACACTGTACAGCCGAATTGCATCACCATCAAATGACGCCTGCAACACAAGCGTTGGCAACTCGTAAGACAGACCGGAGCACACAGCCGGAATGACGCACTGTCCCTGCCGGTTTGACCCGCAAGCTACTGCGGAGCTGTCGCTGCGGAGCAGAACCGAGTGGAACTCTCCAGCGGCAACTTGCACGTAAGTCAGACCTGGGCCCAAGGCCGGAAGGTCGCACTGTCCCCTTCCATTGTGCCCGCAGGCTACGGCGGAACCGTCGCTGCGAAGCAGGACAGTGTGGAACCCGCCGGCGGCAACTTGCACATACGTCAGGCCGGGGCCCAAGGCAAGCAAGTCACACTGCCTGTTTTCATTCGTCCCGCAGCCCACCGCCGAGCCGTCGCTACGGAGCAATACCGTGTGGTGATATCCAGCGGCAACTTGTACGTATGCCTGGCCTCGGCCCAAGGCTGGGAGGTCACACTGACCCCTTCCGTTGTGCCCACAGGCCACAGCGGAACCGTCGCTGCGGAGCGCGACGGTATAGGCCTCTCCGACAGCAACGTGCACGTAGGTGAGGCCTGGGCCCAAGGCCGGAAGGTCGCACTGTCCCCTTCCGTTTTCCCCACAAGCTACCGCCGAACCGTCGCTGCGGAGCAGAACTGTATGGAACCCTCGGGCAGCAACCTGCACATACGTCAGGCCTGGGCCCAATACAGGAAGGTCGCACTGTCCCGCCCCGTTGTCCCCACAGGCCACCGCCGAGCCGTCGCTGCAGAGCAGAACCGTGTGGCCCACCCCAGCTGCAACCTTTGGGGGCCTCCTCGATGGGGTCCGAGTAGATGGGGTTGGAGGATCGTGCAGCATCGCCGATACATCGGCGATGAACCGGCGGCATCGGCGGTGCGTCAGAAACGCCGGCGTGGAGAAATCTGGGCTCCACATCGACGCGCATCACCGATGCATCGGCGATGCTGCGCGATCCTTCGACCCCATCCACTCTGGGGGAACCAAAAGGTACCAATATCGCTACTCCCCGGACCTCTCCCAGGGTGCGTTCTGACAAGGATTTCGAGGCGAATCCAGCGGTGGTGACGAGGGCATCTCGGGAGGCCGACAAACAGGAGCACGAGGGAAGGGTAGCGGTAAGGGTACCTTTTCCTCCTCTGATGCTCCGACCCCGTCCGAGTCGGGAGCGGCAAAGAGGGGGGTGTCCATGAGGGGGGGGTGCAAATCATGACCGGCGGCATGTGCGCGGCCCAGCGGGGGGGCCAGGGACGTAATGAAATAAGACGAGGCGCCATGAAATCTGGGGAAATATCATGGCCCGCGCCATGATATCCCCCCCCCCCCCTAGTCATCACCCCCCTCTTTTCCGCCCCCGACTGAGAGGATGGAATGAAAGCCTGCACGTACGTCAGGCCCGGGCGCAGGGCTGGCAGGTCGCACTTCCCGGCCCCGCGCGGCCCGCAGGCCACGGCGGAGCCGTCGCTCCGGAGCAGCACGGTGTGGTCGAAGCCCGCGGCGGCCGCCCCCGAGCCGGCCGTCGCCATCCGAGGGCGCGCGCGGCCGGGGAGGGCCTGGCCTCGGGGGAAAGCTCGACCCTACGCAAGGAGGGGCCCTGGGCAAGAGGGGCCGTCGGTGCGCGGCGGGGGGGCGGGGGGGCGTGGGGGCCAGATCCAGGCGCGCGGGCGCAGGGTGACCCTCGTGAGCCCGCACCAAGGGTCACTCCGGAGAAGGGTCACTCTCACAGTCAACCCGCGCGGTGAGGGTGGGCAACCTTCCCAACGGTACCCTTGCATCCTTGCCTCTTCGGTCCATCCCTGGCCACCTTCGTCGTTGGCCGCGCCCCGCTCGAAAAGCTTCGAGACGGCCTTCCAAGGTCCTTGCATCCTTATCGTGCGTCCTTGTGATACGGGTCGACTGCACGCGTGGGCGAAACTTCCAGGCAACTCTGCGACAGCTTCTGGCCAGAGCCGAAAGTACTGCTCTGGAGAAGGGGCGGCCTGACTTGGACGGGGGCTCTGGCCCGATCTGTCTTTGCGAAGGGGGGTGGGGCAGGGGAGATCTGTCCAGGAGGTCCTACAGTCAACCTGTATCGCAAGCGTGCGCGATGAGGATGCAACGGCCTTGGACGCCCATTTCGAAGCTTTCCGAGCGGGGCATGGCCAACGAAAATGGCTAAGGATGGACCGAGGAGGTAAGGATGCAAGGGTACCCTTTGGAAGGTTGCCCATCCTTACTGTGCGGGTTGATGGTTGACTGTAGTGACTCGTAGAGCTTCCCCCAGAGCGTTAGCGGCGAAGCTAGAAGAGTAATTCCGGCGCGCTGGGGGGGCTAGTTCGCAAAAAAATATCGACGGATGTTTTGTCCTTTTTTGACCTGTTTAAATTCGATTTCTCAAAATTTGAAAAATCGTTTGAGCTCTAAGATTTGTCCCCCCATATTCGATCTTATTCCCGCTCGCCATATGAATCTCAGGTCGGTCGGGCACCTACTACTGCCAAAAAGCATTCCGGCGGGATCGGCTGTTTTGGGTCATCTTGACAGGTGTTGTCGGCTTTCTCAACTTAACTCGAGCAGTAGGAGAGCTACACAGCTGGTAGGCACACCTAATCGATCTAGAATCGTCAGGCGCGTAAGTCTCAAGCATCTAGATGTCTGAACTCGGTCTGCTACCAGAGCTGGGTCCGAACAACTATTTGTACTCTGCTATTTTTTGGAGATGATGATGGCTTTCTTGACTTGACTCGAACTGCAGATGAGCTGCAGAGATGTTTGGCACAGCAATCGGAAGGAAATCGTCAGGCGCGCAAGATCAAAGTACCTAGACGCCTGAACTCGGTCTGCTATCAGAGCTGGGTACGAACAACTATTCGTACTCTGCTATGTTTTTAGAGATGGTGATGGTTTTCTTGACTAAGCTCGAGCTGCAGATGAGCTACAGAGCTGTTCGGCACAGCAGTCGCAAGGAAACCACTAGGCGCGCTAGCTTGAAGTATCTAGACGCCTGGACTCGGTCTGCTATTAGAGCTGGATCTGAACACAAAAAAACTATTCGTACTCTGCTATGTGTTTAGAGATGGCGATGGTTTTCTTGACTAAGCTCGAGCTGCAGATGAGCTACAGAACTGTTCGGCACAGCGGGAAGGAAATCATCAGGCGCGCTATTCTGAAGTATATAGACGCCTGAACTCGGTCTGCTATCAGAGCTGTGTTGAAAAACTAGTTGTACTCTGCTAGTTGCTTAGAGAGGGTGATGGTTTTCCTGCCTTAACTCAAGCTGGAGATCAGCTACAAAGCTGTTTGTCCCATACGTCGGGAAACCTCATAAGAAGCGCTAGTCTAAAGTATCTAGACGCCTGAATTCGGTCTGCTACCAGAGCTGGGTCAGAAACACTATTCGTACTCTGTTAAATTTTAAAAAGATAATGGTAACGTTCTTTAGGTAACTCGAGCTGCAGAGGAGCTACAGAGCTGTTTGGCACCGAATTAGGAATTCATCAAGCGCGCTAGTTCCAAGTATCCAGATGCCCGAACTCGTCGCGCTTTCAGAGTTGGAACCAGAAAACTATTCGTACTCAATTAATTTTCCCAGAGATTACGATGCCTTTCTTGATCTTTCCCCTCCTTATCTCCTCCTGCTCCTCCTCCTCCTCCTCCCCCTCCTCCTCCTCCTCCTCCTCCTCCTCCTCCTCCTCCTCCTCCTCCTCCTTCTCTTCCTCACCCTGCTCCATCTCCTTTCTCACTCCTTCTTCCATCCACGTCCTCCCCTATGAGACCGCGCCCTCGCGCGCGCAATGCGAGATTGCCGCGCCCGCATTGCACGAGGAAACTCTACGAGTTCCCGGCGGTAACCAAGGTTGACGGTTTACCGCCGGCCCCCAGTGAAGGGGCCCTGGGACACACAAATAAATACACACAAATAAAATGATTCCCCATATTTCCCCATATTCTCTGGGTTTTTTGTCGTCCCGCCCAATTCCCATAGTTTCCCATATTTTCCTGGGACTCGACGATGAATTGTGTCTGTGTGTTTCTTACCCTCCTGATGTAGGGGGTCCGCCGTTCTGTTCAGCGCGGTGGCCGCCGGGGGGGTCTGGACCGCCTCGCAGGAGTACGGTCGTCGGCAGGGAGGGGGGGGTGAAGCGGCCCGCCTGGGATGGTGCAGAGGTCAAAACTCCCCTCCTTTACAATGATACCGGAGAGAAGCCCCAATCAGAATTTGTTTGGGGCTATAGGGCTATTGGGCTATTGGGCTATAGGGCTATAGGGCTATAAGGCTACTATAGGGCTATAGGGCTATAGGGCTATAGGGCTACAGGGCGATAGGGATATAGGGCTATAAAGCTATAGGGCCACAGGGCACCGGACACCCGGGCACCCGGCACCCAGGCACCCACCCGAGCACCGGGCACCCGTCACCCGGGCACCCGGGCACCCGGGCATCCGGGCACCCGGGCACCCGGGCCCGGCCACCGAATCGGCGGCACACCTCACCTACCCTCATCTACCTGGGATCCCTACAGAGGCAAGCTCTGATTGGGGAATAACGTGTAGAACGCTGTTGATCTTCAATACGTTTTGGACCCGGAGCGCCTCACCTGTACCAAATGACGCCCCGACACAGCGTCTGGATGACCCAAGAGGGCTGCAGATTCCGCGTGAAGCCCCAAGGGGAGGCTGCAGAGAGCCCAAAGAGGCCCCAAGATCATTTCCCCCTGCTCGAAGAATTGCTCAAGATCGTCTAAAATGAAGGGGCCCACAAACACACAAATAAATACACACAAATAAAACGATTCCCCATATTTTCCCATATTTCCTGAGTTTCCCCTCACTTCCCATATTTTCCTACATTTTCTGGGAAATCGACGATTAATTGTGTCTGTGATTTTTTCCTCCTGATAAAAGTGGCCAGTAAAGGCCAGGGAGGCTCACACGAACATCCGGCCACTGTGCTGCATAGCTCACGGGGGCACCCGAGCGGGCGAGGGGTGCGGTGGGCGAGGAGGCGAAGATCGGGTGTTGCCAGGTGTGTCCCTGGCCTCCCCAATTGTGTTGCATCATCGGGGGACCTTGTCTGTCCCGTCGCGGCCCTATCCGCGTCGAATCCGTGTCGAACCCATGTCGGCCTCGTCGGATCCGTGTCGAATCTGTGTCGAATCCGCGTCGAATCCACGCCAAATCTGCGTCGAGTCCGCATCGAGCCCGCGTCGGGCACAAAAAAAGACACCAATTTGGGGGACAGGCGAGGCCCCCCGAAGATGCAACGTGACCCCAGGACTTCCAAGGAGGCCCCCGCAGCCTCCAGATCACCCCTCGCGATGCCCAGGGGGACACCCCAGGGGCTTCCCAAAGCTGCGCGAAGAGTGGCGGACACCCTTCGCGCCCCCACCCCCGTGCAGAAAAGACGGAGCAGCAGCGTGCAGCAGGCCGCGCCACCGGCCTGGAGCAGCTGCCAGCGCGTGCCGCGCGGCTCGGCCTCCGGGGGCGGCGATTGGGCGCATCGCGTGCCGCACAGGTCCACCAAGCCCCCGGAGGGTCAGGAGCGAAAGAAGGACGTACACGTACATGAATCCACGCTGGTTTCGAGAGCACGCATTGCGCAAATGTTCGTATAACGCGGCCGGTCTCGCGAATCGAGGGGCCGTGTTCATGTACGTAGCTGGGCGCGTACGTCCTTTGTGGGCTCCCTAGAGGGTGGCTACAGGGACAGGGAAGAGCGGCACCACCACCACCAGGGACCACCAGCGGGAGGAGCCAGGGGGGCTGTTCCTGGTGGTGCGGCCCCCCCTCTCGCTCGAGGCATCCCCTGTCCCCAGCTCGGGAAGGCACCGTGGGCCTCCCGGCTGGAGGTGGCCCCACTGCTGGGGTGGTGTCGCTTCTCCTTTCCCCGAGGCCGGAGGCCCTGTGCGGTTGAAGGTCGGCATGGGGCCGGCAGCACAACGCAGAGGGGCGACGAGGAGGGGACGAGTAGATATGGCAGATTCCTGCCTCGACGACGTGGGCCCTTTGTTCTGACATCACGTGAACCGTACAATCTCGAACGATCGCCACTCCTGAAGACGCCGTAGGCTCTCGAGCCCATCTTGACGTTGCAGCTCGCGCCTCATAATTTTGTCCGTCCGTCCTGGGCCTTGGAAAGAGTTCCTGCTGGGGGTGCACCACCGTCACGAACAACAAAAAATCAATGAACGCTCC